TCCCTTCAAATGCTCGACCAATAGATGCGATGGGGAAATTCCCCTGGACCTTTCCAGGGAGAGAATATTTGGGACAGAATCCCTGTAACCCTCATCTTTCAACTCATCATCCTATACTCTGATACTTTGCCTGCGGTCCTGAACGTGACAGAGTTTCCTGGGGAATACTCTTCCAATGCTAGGGCCTTATTTTGGGGCGTCTTTGAAGCTTTGTCTGCTTCCTTTTCACTAGTGAATCACTTAAGTAGCATTCAAGTATTCATGTTGGTACCTAAATTACGAAATGTAGTCGCGACGTCGGGTGCAGCTGTTCACGGTTCATTTTCTCGTGGTAGGACCACCACAGAAAGTTCAAGTGGTCATAAGAGAGGACAATTTCGCCCTCGATTTGTTCGAGTTGTCCGTCGATGACGTGACTTTCCCAGTTCCTTCTAATCAATACTCATCCGTTTGCTTCAGGATCTGCCGATCAATATTTATCCTTGTCGTGCTCGTTACGCGCAGTCCGCTTTCCATATTCTATAAGGACTGTTTCAACAGGATCTCTTATTCCTTTTCTATTTTCTTTTCTTTCCTTTTTCTCTTATCTCATTTTCCTTTCTTTCGTTCTTGTTTGGACAATCGGTAGACCTGTATTCGCTTAAGATCCATTTATAATTAATTCTGTACGCCCTTTCTACCAGTCTAGTTGGGTCAGGGTGTATCCTAAGGCGCCAGATTGGAATACAGCCTACACTCATTTAGTTCCCCTCAGTGCTGCCAATTAATTCTGGATGCCAGGTTAATATAGAGACCGCGTGGCCTGAGCCACGGAACTGATTTTCTTTCCGTCTAAGGTTTGCTCGACCCTTAGCCCAGCACAACATTCAAATTCATTTTGTTGTTTTTTTTCTGAGGCCAATGTTGTTGAGAAAAGGGGCACGGCCACGCCACGTTCTGCTTGTCTTCGGCTCTCATCTCTTGCTCACAACAGTATAAGTGGCATATATATCTCTATTTCGTTGGCGGTGAAGTGGGCGTTCAGGCGGTATGACTAAGACCACCGATCGGCCAATCTCTAATCTCACCTGGCACGCCTCTTCATCTCACGAATTACATTGAATATTAAGGCGCGCGTTCAACCCCTAACTCATTATGGCGCCCAGGTCCTCTTTTCCTGTAGCCAGCTCGCCCACATCCCCACCTGATCTCTTCGAAACATCCCATAGATCGAGATAGGTGAATTTTCGCTCAGTCTTTTTTTTCAGGGAGGGGCAGGCTTTGGCGTGACGCCAGTTTTTCAATAACCGCAAGTTCATTCAAGCTTTACGCATTTCTTTTGTCATACCTGAACGTTCCTACGTTATTAATGAAGCAATCCATTAGCTTTCAGCGCAATGCTATTCATTTTTTTGCGGAGTGCTCAACATTAACAATAACGCAATTACTTAATTTCCAGATTCACAATGCTATTCATATTTCTTCGAATAGCCCTCCTTCAGAGTGTTGTCTTATCGACAACGGACTTCTCCTTTAATCGGCTATTAAAAACGAATCAATATATAATCATATCACAGCAATTATGTCAGACAAAGTTTGAGTCTCATGTGAATGACCAAAGCTGTCCAAGGGCACTCATTCCTATATCTAGGTACGTCAATCGTTTTTAATTTTTCATTTTTTCTTGAATTTTTTTTTTTCTTTCACATTTCTCTTGGATAAGGGCTGAGAGAAGCGTACGACACATTTGATGACGGATCTATTGCTGAGCTCTATTTTTATCTATGTAAAAAAATAGCGCGAACTGATGTGAGCTAACGGGTAGGTACAGCCTTGTTCGCTGCAGATGTTGGGGCGTGTCCGCGGCTGCGTTTGGGACGGAGCAAGGGCATTTCTCACCAGTTGTGTGTTGCTTGCCCGCTTCTCCACAACTGATAGAAAACGGACTGGTGCCGTGACGCACCCTGCCCACCTGGCACGCCCCAACATTCGCAGCGAAATGGACTCTACATGAATAGGTATTGGAAAGATGAAGCTTGAAACATGGTCCCTTTGCTACAGCGAGGTCACCTTCCTCCAGCTTGAATCTTTTAGACTCATAATGGCACCGCTGTCCATTTGCAGGGCTCCTAGAAAAGTAGACTCTCGTTCTATGCGAACGATGGAGCGTGTCAACGCAGCTACGTTTGACGCAGCGCCAGCCCGTTTTTTCGTGTTTTCCCATTTCAACAAACGACAAGACTACCATAGAGTTACTCGTTCTTCCCAGTTATTGTCACATATCCTCTTTGGCAACCGGTGGCAACGTGCTGGCAGCACGCCAAGTGCGGCCGCACTGTCACGCCCCATCATCCGCTGCGAACGAGATTATAAGGAGCAGCAGACGTCAGTGCCGTTGCTATTTTGAATGTTCATTTCATGCTCATTTCAATTGCTTTTGAACGACAGCACATGGTTACAGCAATTCCTCCTCGTTGAATCTTCGACAACATCTTTTATTGTTTGAATGTGTAATATTGTGGGGAAAACTGCATATTGTGGTTTCAGCGCACAACAGAAATCTGTTTCTGTGTGTATCTATCCCATTCGTATCCACCTAATTCGGGACCCGGAGAAAAGGCGGCCACCACGAGCTCTTTATGTTGGGCGCCATAAGAGCGGCCAAACAATTGCATTTGTTGAGGATATAGCAGTGGGTTTTCTCGCTCCTAATCTTTCTGCCCTGCAGATATGGCTTGAAATTTTCTTCAGGCTCCTCGTCTACCTTCCTTCGACCGTACCTCAAATATCTATTCTCGACTGATCGACTTTGGTAACCGACCGCACAAGTATATGAACCAGTACAACACGGTGTGTTTCCCGTATTGCCTCTTTTGATAGTAGTGGTACGTTGTGTGTCAGCAGTGGCTCCAGGCGTCATAAAAGTTATTCTCTATAAACAAGACGAAAGTCAGGCTGCTTCATACATTGCGTGAGCGTTTTTTTGAGCGCACAGTTGTGTTTTGAGAATTTCGACGTTCTCCACGCCGGAAGGTAAAAACGCCGGCGTACGCCCAAATCGCTAGACCGATATCTATACTTTCTCAGTCGCTCGAAACGCTGCTGTACGTTGGCCCCTCAAACGCTGAATCAATGTTCATGCTTTCCTAGTCCGTCGCCGCTGTATCGTGGCTTACGCTGGCATACGCTGCCGTGCGCTCAAAATGCTGACGCAAACTATGGACGCCGCCTTAGGATTTTATGCTATTTCATCTCTTTAGCACATGTATAGATGCAGAAGGTCTCACGCTACGCTAGCTAGCAAGCGAAAAAAGTTTAAAGGGATCGTTTTCTTCAGGATTTCACGCTATACGACCATGTATATCAGCTACTTTACCTTGGTCAACCATGATTCTCGTGGAATGCAGCATTGTGCCGTTCTGCGGCTATCAAATCTCTTCCCTGGTAAGTTGTTTTTCAATGTTCAAAGCTGCTGAGCAGTATGCTCAATTTAAGGCTGTTACTAACGCTCACTTTTGTCGAAATTCCTGCAATTGCACTCTCTCTTTACATACTAAGATAAATGTTCAGGTAGTTCTGAGTCAAAAACCTTAACAACAAGTCTCATCCATGATTTCGTGATACACGATGCAAATAAGGCACGTAATGGTTGGATAGAAGACCCATACAGTCACGAAGTAAGTTAAGAACGCTTTCCAGCGCTCCTCCTTCATGCGCTGCTCTATTCGAAGTTCGATTTTCAAGTTAAACTGTAATTAGCCCAGTAAGGGTGCAGTGCGGCGGCTCTTCGTTGCGCCAACGCGGTGAAAGCGGCAGAAGTGATGCGAGGCGCACTGTTCCGCACTAGGGGCCATTCTCTCCTAGTTTACAGTCCTCATCATTACGGACTGTCGGGGCGGCACAGCCGCGCTGCACTGTGACGCGACAGCGGCTGCGGCTCGGTGACGGCGAATCAGCTGATTTCCATGGAATTCGGCTGCGAATTCCCTCGAAAGTGGAAGGTGAGTTACTATGAACAATTAAATTGTACTGACTCTGAATGAATCTGAAAGAATGTAAGCCATTTGAAAAATGCCTGAAATAAGGCAAAATACAAGGAAAAGAGCATAATAATCGACATAAAAATAAAGGAAATCAGGCCTCAAAATTGTTTAAATAACTCACCAATAATGATGAGGACTGTTATGTGCGTCGCCACAACAAGGGCCACTCTATTACGCGCGTCGTAGAGGTTTTCGGGGGCATTTCGTAAGCATTATCTTTTTTGATTGGTGTCGTATCATGGATGCGATTTCTTCTATATAAAACCCAGTCGGATCGGCCGGCTTCGCCGGCCGATCCTCCTTCCGGGTGTGAAGTGGGTCGCCGGCCGATCCTCCTTCCGGGTGTGAAGTGGGTCCCGGTGAGAAGTTTTCCATGAGAGGGAGGGCCAGTCGGCCGAATGGTCGAAAAAAAATTGTTTTTAGAATTACCGCACTTTACCGTTTCACTGCTTGTATATACCCCCCCTAGAAGACAGTCGTGAAAATTTTCTATACCGCTCCCGTTACTGATGAAGAAGCGCAGAATAAACGGCACCAACCATTTGGTATACTCCCTACGGTTATCCCTAACTAACTTCATCTGCCCAACCATTGCTCAGTTTCACTTACTCCCCATTTCCTGGAGTTTTTCGGATGTGTTTTGAGGGTTTTTATCCCCGGCACCGTTCACTTCGGCGAACGCCCTGCCCATCGCGGGTGTGCTTCATTCATTCCGTCCGCCAACTGTTTGCCTATCGTTTCCCACAATTTCCGCTCTCCGGGATCTTCTGGAACCGAACTACGAATTTTTGAAAGTTTTGTAGCGAGCACCGCCCACCTATAGCACGCCTCGCCCATCACGGGTGTGACTCCCTCATTTCATCCGCCAACTGACTGCTTATCGTTTCCCACAATTTCCGCTCTCCGGGATCTTCTAGAACCGAACTACGAATTTTTGAACTATGTAGCTCACAACTGTGCGCATGCCCCGCCCACAGTGGGCGGAGCTTAGCTCAGTTCATGTGTGTTCCGTACATCTTGACCCATGCCCTACCCAACCCACCCTTGACCCGCCCCTCCAACTGGTTCTTCAGGTGATTCCGAATTTCCGGACAGACAGACAAACAGACAAACAGACAGACGTACAGACGTTGCCGTTTATATATAGTAGTGATAGTGATAGTTAGGTAGGGAAAACAAGAGTACAGTACTCCAAAAAATGAGCATGAGATTGAATGGCTCGGCCCGTGAACACACACAATCGTGTATACCAGGAGCCGGTTTAGTTGCCAAGGAAGATACGGGATGGGGGCAGGAAGCGAGAGCGACTTTCATTTCGCTCTCTGTCTGTAGCCAGGTGCTCCGTAGGCGAGATGAGTGTGCAGTGTGCAACGCGCTCCTACGCACTAAATTTCATGTGCAGGTGCAGTTTGGAATACTGTATCTCGCCTGTTTTTCTAAACATACAATTTGATTTATATGATCGCTTCACGAAGTTATGGCGTAACATATACATTTTTTGAAGTACAAGCCGCACGCATTCGCATGATCGCGTAGACGGCGACAGCGAGCGGCCAGGGTCGCTAGAAAGAACAACACCCTATAGTCTCTCTACGAATCCTATTGTTAATAGGTTACTCATCTCTTTTTGTTCGATAAAGCTCATTCACGTAGACAAGAACTGTCAAGGTATACGCAGAAGGAAAGCCAGAAAAAAAATATTATCTGCGAGGCGCGCCCTATAGACGAGTGTGCCTTTTATCCCAGAATGTGCCTTATATCCCAGAGTCACTAATCCATCTAGGTGTATTATACCACCAATGAGGAAGGAAACACTTACATACACGCTCTACCGATGAACCGCATACTGTCAGCATTTAAAGAAGGCACGGCTGGCAGGAAAATCTATATGTACAGTAATGATCGCATCTTCCTGAGGTAATTTTTTTCTCTCCAGTTTTCATATCTTTTCGGAACTTTACTGGTTTGTTGAGAAGTTTTCTTCTACACTGCTGATTCTGTTGTGTTACAGCGTGTTTGGTGGTGTGTTGATAACTCAACATTCACAAGGGGACCATACCATATTTTACATGCGGTACGTCCTTTTGCTAATTCTGCTGAAGAGGTTTGATGTTACTGGAGTGAGGGGTGGGGGCACGGAAGGTTCAGCGACAACTTTCGTTCAATTCCAAGACCGTCTAAATTTTCTGCTCTTGTCTGCGTCCTCTCGTCCACATGACGTTTCCTGACTAGTGTGATTGACAATTCTTTTAACTTATGACAAGTTTGCCTTGCGCACTATAGCCCTTTCCTTCTGCTCTACATATCCGCCCCCCGCGGCAGTTTCATGTAGAAAAAGAGGAGTTTCTGAGGAAAAACTCCTCAGAAAGTGACAGGACGCTGTAGAAATTCAGGTGGTAGGTGGAATGGGGTAAAGGAAGGGAGTCGCCCCAGAGGAGAAAGTTTCGGGAAGATCCTTATTTTGCAAAAATTTTCCTCAACGGTAGGACGTGCCTTGACAAGACCGTGGACAAGAGGGCAAGTAGCTGCGTAACCGGCACACGCCTGCGCGACTAAGCGTGCATTTCCGCCCTCCCACTCTAGCACAGACCGTGATCCCTTCTCCTGATGGGTCAAAGTTCACAGCGGACGGGTCCGTTATTCCCGCGTAGTCCACAGCTCCAGTGATTCTTAACTCCTTATAATGTCGTTTCTTTCTATAGATCAGTTTTGCTTGGTTTTGTAGTTTTTGGTCAGTTGGCATTACTTTTCTTCAGTTCCACTACCAATTCAAGTAAAAACGTAGCTGGTATATCGTGTGGTTTTGCTCATGATCGTGGGAATGATGGGAATTCTAGTAATCCTTACATTATGATCGTTCGGTGAGTTCAAATAAAATATTTGTGGTGAGTTCTGTTTGAGTTGTAAAGCACCTTCAATCCTGTACAGGGACTGGGACTACTGTCAAATACGAGATGGACCACTGGCAGATCCTAGAACATGTTTACAGGATCGAGAGCAATGGATGCTGAAAGAAGGATTGGTAATCGTTTTGCTTGAGTTCCCTGC